CTTCTCTGGCACAACTTGTTTGCGAAGGAATGGCACGGGAAGGAAAAGGAGGAGAAGAAGAGAAGGCTGCGTCGGATACGACACCAGAACCGTCAGCGTCCAGGAGGAAGGGGAAGAGGGGGGGGAAGGGCATTGGCGTGCTCGCGCCACATCTGAAAACCACCCGCTCCCATCCATCCCTTTCCATTGCGTTGAATCCTAACCAATGCGCTGGATGGGGTGTCCTAGATGCCCTTGGCCCCCAAGTGGCACTTGCAAGATTTGACAAATCGCTTGCCGCGCAATCGGGAAGGAAGGCCTTGGAGGTCGGATGAGCAGGAAGAAAAGGAGGAGGAGAAACGAGGACTTGCTTCGCGGTGCGCCGCCACAGCGCAGGTACCCAACAGCCTGCGCGGGCAGCCACTTGAAGCGGGGGTTGAGCCGAAACGGCACACCGAAGGTGAACAAGGGCAAAGCACGTGGCTCCGGCAACTGCTGGCCTGGGCGGGCGCCTGGGCCAGGAGAGCCCAGAGTCGAATCGCAAAAGGCCAGACCTGCAATCGAAATCAGACAAGAGATCCGAGCCCAGATCAAATCCGATATCGAATCGGATCAGAACAGGAACCCATTGAAATGGAATCGAATCGGACCGGAGGAATCGACACGAGCCCTGCTGGGCTGGGGGGCCCTGCTGCTCCGACCGAGGCCAACCCGCCTGCGGCGGAGACCCGCGGCGCGGTGCACCGCGGGCTCCGCGCCGTCGCCACGACGGGCGCCGCGCCAGGCCTGCGGCCCGCTGCGGGAGCCACCACCCGCGTCGGGGGCTGGGCCGAAGCTCCCGCCCCTGAGCCGGGCAACGACTGCTCGTTGTTGGTATGCTTCCTGCTTCACCTCCTCCTCCTCCTCCTCCTCCTCCTCCTCCTCCTCCTCCTGCCCCACCTCCTCCTCCTCCTCGTCCTCCTCCTCCTCCTCTTCCTCCTCCTCCACCTCCTCCTCCTCCTCTTGCTCCACCTCCTCCTCCTCCTTTTTCTCCTCCTCCTTTTTCTCCTCCTCCTCCTCCTCCCTCCTCCTCCTCCTCCTCCTGCTCCTCCTCCCCATGCTCCTCCTCCTCCTCCTCCTCCTCCTCCTCCTCTTCCTCCTCCTCCTCCTCCTCCTCCTCCGCGCCCAAAAACTCCGCCGACCCTCCGGCGTGTGTGAAACGCTGTCGTCGTCGTCGTCTCGTCGTCGTCTCCGCGTCATCATCGTCAGTCCCAAGAAAATTAAGAAATGAACAGAGAAAAGAAACGTCATAGTTAAGTCGATTCCTTTCCCTTTTTCCCTTCCCTGACGGCGGGGGGTTGGAGGGGGTAGGGGGTGGGGGTTGGGGGCGGGGTTAGGAGGGGGTCCTGGGCAAATTACCGTCGCCCCCCGGGGTCCCAGCGGGTCCAGGGAGGTGGTCCCACCTGTGGCCAGGGGGGACAGGGAAAGGGTTCCGAAAAAGTGTGCAATCACGAGTTAAATACTTAATATGGATTAAACCTTGTTGAACTTTTACCTGCAGTGCTTCACCATTGGAAAGGGTTTACTCCAGATTGAACCTCTCTAGATCTGAAGCGCCCCTCTGGCGACCATGTCGTCTCTTCTCTATCTCCGCGGCGCATGATCTGTTCACTTCCTGGGCCCCGCGCTCGAAACATTATCGCCCTGGGGCTGGCCATTTACGTAGGCGCAGTCGCTCCTTTCATTTGCCCTTCGGGTTTTTCGCTGTCGGGGGTTACTTTCTGAAGTTGCGCCGGCATCTCTGCAATCGACTCGTTTTTCAATCCAGTTCCAGTCTTTCACGTTATGGACGACGTTTCGTCAGGCTGCTCAAGGGGGTGGGTCTTGTAATTTTAGTTCTGCCGCCCTCCTCTCGCTCTGCTGTCTGATTATTGAGCCACCCGGATATTGAGCCAACTCCCCTCGCTCTTCAGGTGTTCTTGCTCCGAAAGTTGTTTTGTTTGGGGCTGCTGGCTCTCAGGCTACGTCGGCTCCTTTTTTCAGATACGAGCGCTCTCTCGCTATGAATCCCTTCCGCCCTAGTTCTGCAATGCTTCTGGCTCCGGAGGCCTATTTTGTCCAGCTCTGCTGGCCTGTCTGGTTTTGGAAGTGTTGTTTCGTTCTGCAAGCTCGCTGGTTCAGTGTGCGTGTTTCTCTTGCCCTGCAGGCTTTCTGGCTCAGGTCGCTCGTCACTCTAGCTCTGATCTAGGGCGATTGCTGCTCGCACGCTGCGGGCTTTCTTGTTTCGTCGGTTCCTTCTCCGGGGCCTGCAGGCGCTCTCTTCAACAGCAACAACAACACACATGCAGTTTGCGCTCCCCTCCAAGAGGGGATAACTCCAGAGTTAACACTTTTAACCGGATATCCTGTCGGAGGGTTAACTTTGGAAATAATATGTTTGACGGTATTTCCGGTCGGAGGGTTAACTCTGGAGTAAACACTTTTATGCAGTTGCCACCGAAAGGTCAATATTGGCCCAAACGATTATGAGTTTGATCGATATGGATTCGCAGCGGTCCATAAGCCTTCTAAGTCGGTTGGCAAGGCCGCTAAGAAGCCTTGAGAGTCTCCGAACAGGTGTTCTAGATGCCCGCAAGAGATTCCCAACATGCTCCCGACTGATTTAAACTGATTCATGTCCTCTCGCCTTCGCCACTGAACTAGTCGATTGGTTCCTCCTGCCAAGGACGCCCGAAGACGCCAAGAGAACGATGTCCAATGGAGGAGGCGGAGAGGACATATGATGCTGATGATGATGATGGACTTGATGCCGATGACAATGACAATGCTGATTGTTAGGAAGGGCGTTATGACACTACGGTGATCCCACGACCCCCTGATGACGACTAAGACGACACTAAGACGGCCATTCGCAACCGTGACGATCACAGGGTGACCCCGAGACGGCCCTAATGAGATCGTCAACTGCGAGAGCACCCCATCACCTTGTGGCTGGCCCTGAGGCTACCCCGGGACAACAGCATCAAGCCCATGACGATCTCAGAGCGATATCAGGACCCCAAGGCGACCCCAACATAACCCCAATGCGACCCTCCAGCGACCTCACAATGACCCCAACGCGACCTCTGCATATGACATCAAGGCGTTCCCCATATGTTCCCGAATCGACCTGACGGTCCCTTTGACGAACCCGAGAGAACCACCTTCTGACCCGCAAACAACACCAACACCATCTCCAGCAAAACCCGACACGGCCGCGGATTGGTCAACAAAGCCGCGACGCTCAAGGCCGTAAAGTCAATGGACCACCGAGGAGCTTCCAGGCGACAGGTTCGGTCACTCTGCACCCCTCGCTCTCCATCTCTCCCTCCCCTTTTCCTTTTATGTGTTGCTTGTGTTGCTTATAGCTGCTATCATATAAGTATCTACGGAAATCGCTCTCTTTATCCTTCTCTCTCTTTCTCTCCACGTCTTGTCTCTTGCATATATAGATAGGTTTGCATGTGAATGCCTCCTTTCCTTTAGGTTTATATTTCTCTGCTCTCTCTCTCTCTCTATATATATGGTATCGCTCTCTCTCTCTCTCTCTCTCTTTATGTCTATCTCTCGCTATGCGTTTGTATTTATGTTTCGCTCTCTCTCTCTCTCTTTCTCTTTCTCTTTCTCGTCATCTCTCTGTTTCTCTGTTTCTCTTTCCCTCTCTCTCTCTCTCTCCCTCGGTCTCCACCTTCTCCGCCTCGGCCTCTCAAGGAGTGTCCAAACGGGAAGGGTTAACTCTAGATTTCCTGCCAGGTGGCGAGTTGCACGCGGGGACCGCGGGGGCGCCCACGAAAAGGGTTTAATCTGGAGTTAACCCTCTCAGGGTGGATCCCTGCGACGCTCGGCGTCCACGAGAAGGGTTTAAAATCTGGAGTTAACGTCCTCTCAGGGTGCATACCTTGATGCTCGCCCGGCGGAAGGCTAACTCCAGAATAAACCTTTCTTAACGTGGGGGGGCTGGTCCTGGTCCCCGATCTGGCCGTGGCCCCGGACCCAACTCTGGCCCAAACCACAGCCCCAAGGTCCCGGAAGAGGACCCTGGGGTCCCGGGGGAGGTCCCGCCTTCAAAGTCGGCGGCACCGGCCATAAGGCCTTCACAATGAGCCCCTCGGCCCGCGCAAGACGCGCGTTCCAACTAGAACGCTCAAAAAACTCGAGAAGCCACGAACCTGGTAACAAATCGAAGTCCGAAATAATCGCGACGTCATTGCCACCCATGTGCTGTGCCATAAAGTTGTATCATATTGAATGGTCTGCGGTGTTGTGTGCTGCGGTGCGCCGCGTTGGATTGTTCGCTGGTCCGTCCTAAGAGTTCGCCACGATACTCGCCATCGCCATGTCGCCATTCTCATGCCACCATCATTATCCTCACATCCACCACCACCACCACCACCACCACCACCATCATCATCATCATCATCATCATCATCATCATCATCATCATCATCATCATCATCATCAACATCATCAGCATCATCACCATCATTATCAGCATCACCATCATCAACATCAACATCAGCATCACCATCATCAGCATCACCATCATCATGTTCATCATCATCATCATCATCATCATCATCATCATCATCATCATCATCATCATCATCATCACATCACCATCATCATCATCATCATCATCATCATCATCATCATCATCATCATCATCATCATCATCATCATCATCATCATCATCATCATCATCATCATCATCATCATCATCATCATCATCATCATCATCATCATCATCATCATCATCATCATCATCATCAACATCAACACCAACACCAGCACCAACACCAACACCAACATCAACATCATCGTCGTCATCATCGTGATCATCATCACCACGCACCACCGTCACCACCATCGCCATCATAATCGCACTCGCAACGTGCCTCACTGCAACGCGTGTCAAAAGCAAGTGCACCAACGACGCATGCCCTTTGCCCCCCCGTTCCTCCTCCCCCTTGCGGCGCCCCCCCCTCTGGGAGCCCCGCCCCGTCCTCGGCGGTCTTGGGGTAGTGCCCCACGAACAAGAGGAACTCCACGCGGCCAGCCTCCGGCACGCGAACAAGAGGGGAAAGAGGGATGTGCAAAGAGAGGCGGCAACCACTGACCAACGTAGTCGACCGTGGACGCCTTCGTACCCATCGGACTTCAGTGGTCTTCGACACGCCTTCCGGTCCAAGAGAACAGAGGCGACCTCGCCAAGGGTTCCCGTCGTTCCCTCCTCGGCCGCCGCCGTGACGGCGCAGGCGGCCGCTGGCTCCGCAGCTCGCCTCGTTGCCGCTCCGCCAGACGAGCCGTCGCCCTTGGCCAAGCGCGTTCGGAGGGGCGACTGATCACCTCCTTCGGCCCCAACATCCTCAACAGCTCCTCCAGCCGCCTACTCGCCAACCCGACTCAAGCGGCTCCTCGAAGGGAGCTCGGGCAGTTGCTTCGCGGCCAGATGCGCGGAACCACGCGCGCGGCACGGGTTAGCTGAGCGGGGCGCGGGGCCCAAGACGGCTACGGAGGGCCATCTTCGAAATCGAGGCTGCGCTGGCTGCGGCCTCCAATCGTCCAATAATCGCTCGGCCTAAGTCGGGGTCGGATCGGGGCTCGAGCAGAGTCGGAGTGGAATTCGAAGTCGGATCGGATCGGGCATCTGCGGAGTCGGAGTCGGATCAGAGGCGGTCCCGAGTCAACGCAACAGCCGATAGCGCTCGAGGGGGAAGCGTTGACCACGAAGGGCAATATCCAGAGCACCTGCTCCGAACTCTAATGGACGCTCCAGCCGAACGCGACCATGCCTGGACTCGCTGACTGGATCTTCCCCCGCCCTCTCCTCCCATCTCGTCGCCCTTTCCCAAACTCCGATCCCACCCCTGTGCCCACCTCCCCGCCTCAGTCAAGCGGCGCCAGGGGCCCGAAGACGATCGGCACGGGCACCCTGTCGCGTCTCAGAATCCAGAAGACGACCTAGCTCCGAAGAGGTAGCCGTAAAGTCAGACAGGTAACGCTCTCCTCACTCCAAAGCTCAGCCCGCCAACAAGCTCAACAGACGGACTCCATTCAACACATCATGCCTACGGCGACTGCCAACACCCTCTTTTCCCTTCTGTTCCTCCTTCTCCTCCTCCTTTTCATTCTGCTCGACCTCCTCCCCACTCATCCTCCTCCCTGCCAACTGGAGGTGATGTTCACAAACTATGAAGCAGGACGAGTTCGCACGGAGCGTTCTGGAGCGTCCCGGATCGGCGGCACAGGCTGGAGGCATCTACAATTGCAAGAGATTCACGGATAGAGGGCGGTCTGTTTTCAACATGTGGCTCTCGCCTTAGCGCCACGCGCATTCGTCTTCAAAGTTTGCAAGAGTTTCAAGGATGCAGGGCGGCCCCTTTCCAACATGTGGTTCTCGCCTCTGCGCAGCGCGCATTCGTCTTCAGAGTTTGTAGCAGCTTCAAAGACTCCCACGGTTGACGTCTCAGACATAATGTTGGCGCGATGTCGAAATGTCAGGGCGTAAAACGCACGCTAATCCGCGGAAGTCCCAAGGATGGCATGCTGGCACAATTCTGGGTGGTCATGTTGCATCAGTAATGGCGCGGATTTGACGTCCCAGGAAAGGTGCTCTGTCACATTTTCGGAATGTCGAACCGTTGTCTTCCAACAGGCACTTTCATGAATGAACATGAACCCTTGTCGGGGCCGGTGAAAACTTGGAGGGATGATATATTGCAATCTAGTTGATGGGCCTTGGGTTTGCACTGGTCCTCCTCCTCCTTTTCCTGCTCCTGCTCATCCTCCTTGTCCTCCTCCACCTCCTCCTCCTTCTCCTCCTCCGCCTCCTCCTCCTTCTCCTCCCCCTCTTCCGACGAGATAGACAGGCAGAGAGACATAGAGAAATAGAGAGAGAGAGAGACAGACTCGAGAAAACAGTGATCCCTGTGAAACCACATGGTTTGCGAAGTAAGTGGCGCCATACCCTGTGACTTCACACAAAAATTTAGGATTTCTGGTATGCGGGCCCCCGAAGTTCTGCGATAGTACTGTGATGTTGTTGGGTTGTTTTTGGATTCAGAACCCTGGAGGACTGCAGCGTGGATTGTCGCTGGAGGATGTAGCACCCCCAAAAGTCAACAAATAGAATCAATGGCAACAACAGAATTCGGGGACGTTCGCACCAGAAATTCCAAGCACCCGAATCAAATCACAGGGTGCGCCCCGCCACCCCCTACACACAATTACTTTGCAAACCTCGCAATTTCTTCTATCGCTGGTCCCTCTAGTCTCCCTCTCCCTTTCTCTTTTTTTGTTTCTCGCTCTCTCTCTCTCTCTCTCTTTCTCTCTCTCTCTCTCTCTCTCTCTCTCTCTCCGTCTGCCCTTCTACCCCGTCCGAAAAATAGTACGATGATGATGGTGATGCGGAGGAGGAGGAAGAGGAGAAGGAGAAGGAGAAGGAGAAGGAGGAGGAGGAGACAGAGGAGGTGCACCATGAGGAGGAGCAGGAGGAAGAGGAAGAGGACAGGGCATCCGCATGAGGGGGTCAACGCCGAAACGCCCGCAAAGGAGCTGTGGGGTACGACTTGCGAACTCCCCTGCGAAGGAAGTTTGCCGCAGAGCCAGACTTCTCATGGGGCCGGCAGGGGGCGTACCCCGATGCTCTAAGGGGCGAGCTCCGAAGAGGCCCCGTAAGAGAAGCTCGCTACCTTGTGAGTACGAGTCCCTACGGGTCAGTGCGGGGGGGGGGCGGCTGTTGGCCCTCTCGCGTGCCCATTCCAAGGGGGCACGCGCTGGGCGAGCAGGGCTCCCAAGCAGGGGGAGGAAGACGACACGACCTCACTCAACGACACAGGGGAGAAAGGAGGAGGGAGAGAATTCAGGAAACCCCTTCGTGCCAATCTTATGCTGGGGAGCCTAGTTCATATGCTACCTAAGTCCTGCCGAGAACACAAAGAAAGGACGGGGAGGAACAAAAACAGCAGTAACACGTGGGCCCACAGTGACAGAAAGAGGGATAGGTAACAGGAAGAGGGTCAGAAGGAGGAGGACGCATAAAAGGAATAATACAAGGAGGAGCAAAAGTGACCGAACGGAAAGGAAGAGGAGAGGCGAGCACCCTCAACCGAAGAGAAAACGATCAGTGGGCGCCTGGGACCTGCGCAGACATGTATATGTGCATGTGTACTTGCATGTGTATGCCTGTATTTATATGTATATGCACAAGTACATGTACATGTACATGTGTATGTATGTATACATGTGTGCATATGTTTGTGCATATGTATGTGCATACGTGTATATATATATAAATGTAGATGTATACGTGTTTGACGATGTAAAGGTGCATGTGAATGTATATGTACATGGACAAATATATGTTCATGTATAAATATATACACATTTATATACATATATACATATATGAGAGAGAGAGAGAGAGAGAGAGAGAGAGCGTGATCCACCGCCGCTCTACTGTGGAAAATTGCCAACCTTTTCCTCCGGAGCCCGGGGGTCGCCCCCCCCCGCCGAAAATCCCCCCCCCCCTGCTGGACCCCCCCCCTCCCCGGCAACCCCCCCCCCCCCCTAACCCCTCCCCCCCTCCCCCTCGAAAACCGGGGGGGGTCACTACCGGTTCGATCCCCTCCCCCCCCCCTCGGATACCCGGCTCGAACCCCCCCCCCCCCTCTCGAAAACCGGAAGGGGGCCACTACCGGTTCGACCCCCCCCCCCACACGCACCGCCAGCAAACGACTCCCGGTCCCTACCACCGTCCGCATCACATCCCCCACTGTTGTTCCCAGCACCACTGTCCTCACCACCGCTGTCCCCACTGGTTCCACCACCGCCCCTACTGTCCCCACCAGTGCCCCCACCACTGTCGCACTGTCCCCACTGCCCCCACCACTGTTCCCACCACGGTTCCACTCTCCCCAGTGTCTCCACGGCCCCAACCAGTGCCCGACTATCCCCACTGTCCCAACTGTCCCACTGACTCCTCCGCTGTCCCACTGAGCTGTCCCACTGTTCCCACCACTGTCCCCACCACTGTCCCCACTGTACCTCTGTCCCATTGTCCCACCGCCGTCCTCGCCACCGCCTTCACCACTGTCCCCATCACCATTGTACCCTCCACTGTCCCAGTGTTTCCACCTCATTCCCACAGTCCCCACACCACTGTCCCCACCACCGCCGTCCCCACCACTGTCCACTGTCCCCCCTGTTCCCACCATTGTCCCCACCACTCTCCCCACCACTACCGTCCCCACCACTGTCCCACTGTCCCACTGTCCCCACCACTGTCCCGCTGTCCCCTCACCAGTGTCCCCGCCACCGTCCGCACCCCCGCTCGGTTTTCGAGGGGGGGGGGGGGTCGAACCGGTAGCGACCCCCTCCCGGTTTTCGAGGGGAGGGGGGGGGGTTCGAACCGGCCGTGACCCCCCCCTTTTCATGATGAACTTGGGGGGGGGGGAGGGGTTCGAACCAGTAGTGACCCCCCCCCGGTTTTCCGGAAGGGGGGGGGAGGGGTTCGAACCGGCAGTGGCCCCCCCCCGGCTTTCCGTCAGCAGCGCGGTAGAACACGCTCTTTATATATATATATATAATATAAATATATATATGTATATATATATATATATATATATACACACACATATATACACACGCACGCGCATGTACCTACGTTCCCCGAAACGCGCCTCCACTCAAATGGTCTTACTTCTTTCCCATCAAAAACTGGGCCCCCGCGTCGGTCCTGCCGGCTCGGGGCCGCCCGTCGCCGTCGTCCGTCGCCGCCACTTGCACCGGGCCACAGCGTCGGTCCAGCTGGCCCGTGGCCGCCAGTCGACGCAGCCGCCGCTGGGCGGTCCAGATGGCTGGTCGCCGCCCGTCGCCGCGCTGCTCTGCTTCTCTTCGCCCCGCAGTGCTTTGCAATGCTTTGCATAGAAAAGCAAGGATTTGCACTGCAACGCACTGCTTTGCCTTGCATTGCGTTGAATTGCATTGCGCGGCGCTGCAGCGCATGCCGTTGCTTCGCGCCGCGTTGCATTGCAGCGCGTTGCCTTCCATTGCGTTG